AGTTTTTTGACAAGCCACTGAGGAAGAAGTAATGCCTGCTGGATGCTTGTCTTTGGAGTCATCTGTCTAAATCATATAGACAACCCCAGAGAGGAAAATATGTCAGAACAGGCTGAATGGTAAGAGATGGGCTATCAGAAGATGACCAACAGCATTACTGTAAGCGGACCAGCCTTCTAAGTAAATTTTTTGGTTTATGCCTGTAATACCTCGCCGAGAGGCTTTTTATGTTTGTGTATCATAATGACTGCAATCAACTGTAAGAATGCATTATTATACACAAAATCAGCATTTGAATGTTAGAAAGACATCTGCTGTAAAGTTATCTGGTATCTTAAAAGAAAAAAAGAAAAGCACCAATACTCTTGGATATGAGCACCATTGTCTGACAGATTGCAAAAACACTAGGAGGCCTTGCAGGCTACAGCTAATAGTGTATGACAATGGGTCTGGCATCCTAGGTGGGAAGCAGCCTGTGTGGAGGAACATGGTGCCAGAAATTCACAGCACAGAATACACCTACTTGGGGAAAGTTGATAAATGGATGGAGGGCTCTCACAAAGAAAGCCACTCTCCTTCAGGATACCAAAATGAAGCTACAGTACCCATCTGACACTAGTCCTGGCTTGCTCCAGACAGAGCCACAGTATTAAAAAATAAAAGAACAGAAAAACCCCATTTTGTTAGGTATATTTAAAACATTAATGCAGGCATATCCTCGTATCTGTAAGTATGTTACAGAGCCCACATCATCATGTGCAGAAGGAGCTCCTTTTTTATTTCTAGCCTTGGGTATTCCTGCTCCCGAGTGTCAGTGATTTTGCAGAGCATGGCTCCTTGCCTGGCTGTCAGTTCACTTTTGTTTTAAGCTGTAGTTGTTCAGGTATATTTTCTGAAACAAAGTCATATTTGTCATGACAAAGTCATGCGAGTCTGTGAGAATTTAGAGGTTACAACTATGAGAAATGAAACTGCAAAAAATGGAGAATCAATCTAAGAGAAGGAAATCTATCATCATTGAAGGGATTTTCAAATGAGAGTTCAACTAGGAGTGGGCCAAGGGTAAAATATTCAAATAATTCTTCTGCACCTCCTGTTTTTTTCCTCTCAAATTGAGTGATGAAAGGATAAGAAAAGTCACTGCGACTGAACATGTTTATTTGATGCTCTTTACATAAGATAAAGTAAACTCATTGTTTAGTGTGCAAGGTTTGAGTGCTACAAAGCTAAATTCTGAGCGCTTTGCAGAATCTAGCACTCCTTCAAAGGAGGAGGTGTAGATTTTCAGGGAAAGCTGACACAGTGCTTCTGGACGCACTGCCACTGCTTAAGGAAGTAAATTCTAAAGGGCACGTTAAACATAGTGATTCAAGAAGATTCATTTCAGAACAACTGTGCCTAGTGTTATCCCAGAATGATTTCAGTTGTAAGCAAGAAAGAAGTGCCTGGCACTTCTGAGAGCTTACCATACATATACTGCTCATTTGGGGCCAGATTGTGAATGGTGCCTCAGGGATACCAAAATCTGATCTCTGTCCTGAACAGGTACTGTATAGATGATGCAGGCAACATATGAAGATGTCAAATCATTGTTGCCTGAGGGTTGATAGCAGCATAGCAGTATGCCTGCACAAAGAGCTGTATTGTTTACTCTTGAGCTTAAAAAAATTTGATCCAATGTGACATAGTAAGTAAAAATGTTTTCTTTCTTCAAGAAATTGTTCTTGGCAATTGCAAACAAGCCTGAAAAACTATCTGCGCAATAGATTCCCTAGCAAATAACACAAATTTAAAAGCAGTATAGCATGTATTCTTTAGCATGAACAGTATTGTCAGAGGTATCCTACTAAATTAATGTTACAGTATTATAGAGGTGGCTCCTTTGACTTAAAAATTGTTGCCCTTGGGATGAATTTGTCCAGCATTTCATAGCATTTGCTAAGGCGCATGCCTTCAGACTGTGAGAACTGCTTAATTCTGATGTGTAGCCATTGTATTTGTGAATATAACTGAATTGAATCATACCAGCTAGCTTCCACGTAGAGATTATTATCCAGAGCAAAGTGCATTTAAATCCAAGTGATGCAGGGAGTATCTAGAGAACTTCCATTTTATTGAGCTACGTGCTCTGTAACTAGTACTTTGAGGATCTTTGAACCAAAAAGAAAACAAAGGTGGGTTCTCACAAATACAGATGTTTGAGAAAGCTAGTTTATACAACATTCTGTAAACAAATTAGCACAAAATAGCATCAGGTTGTGTACCTGTGTAAAATTAAATAAACGTACCCTAGTCCAAATTCTTTGCGATGAAAGCTGAAGTGACACCACACAGAAATTGAAAATTTGAACTTGGAAGTTGTGGAGAGTGAGGAGTATTACTGTCTCATCATTATTTAGCTAAACTTTTAGGAAAAAACCACACACTGAAGCCTGAATGTATGAAACCACACAGAGAACGAAAAGGCTGTGGTTTCAGGGCTCATTGGTAGCTTTTGGTCACTGTCTTGTTTTATGCCATTTAACACAACAAGCACCAGAAGAAAAGGTTTTTGTATGGTATAGGCCCCGTAGATACTTAGTGTGCATGTTCAACATGGCTATTATTTTGTATGTCAGAAATAGGATACCCCAGCCTTCTTGCGGCAACCTGTGGCAGTCCAACCAGAGATGGTAAAGCTGTTGTAAAGCAGGGAGTTATGGAGAAGTTTATCTGGTCTACCTTGGTAACTTTTACTCTTTCACGTCATTGCTCGTCTTTGTCATTTCTTAGACATGTTTGAAAACCTCATGCCCTCTTTTTGCATGTTGCCCACTCAAATATAATTGCCTTCTCAGTGACTTCATTCCTTGTAAGCTCCTGCACAAGCAAGTACAGCCCAAGCTTTCCATTTGTTTGGTTTCACAGTGGTTGAAATGCAATGGAAAATGGAAATGTGCTTAACCTACGCAAAACTATAAGTGTAAAATCTCAATATTGCATCTTTATAGTATCATTTTCAGCATAAGTCTGAACCACGCTGGAACTGAATTTTCTGTACTTGTAGCCAGCTCTTTGACTTCCTTATAGTGCACTTTCTTAGCTAACAAAACTGAGGAATCACTCCTTGAAGGAAAAGTGAAGCAAGGCATCCTACATCCTGGATGTAAGCCAACCCTACACTGACTTTTTTCCTGTAGGAATTTCCCTTTCAAACCATCTCTATTTTCTGTTTTCTGGACCAACTGCTTTTATGGACCTTAACTTCCACCCAACAAGTCCACAACAGCCATTCTGTGACTTTCCTGTGGCTGGGAGGAGGTAAGCAGCCCTGCCTTGTTATTCAGCAGAGCTCAGATTTCTGTCAGTTCTCACCTCCTTCAATACACATGATTTTATATCAAGAGTCACTAAGCTTTTTCTGACTAATTTACATACTAGCAGAGTATATTGATGCCCTTTGGGTGATTGTATGGTTTTGCCTAGATGTGAGCTTCTTTTGTGTAACTTCCAGTTTTTCTGACGTGTTTGATAATTACCTGCTTTTAAAGGCTTGTTATGAAGGGAGGGAACTTGAGAGATTTTGCTTCTTGTCACACACTTCCTTCCTTCTCTTTAAGCCAGGCATGCAGTTGTTTTGAGAATCTTATGGGTAAAATCCACACAGCTAGTCTCAGTAAAATATCAGTAAAATATAATTTCCCCATGAGTTTCATTTGTAACCTTGGTCAGCAATTTTAGCGATTAATCGTTTATACTTCCTCAGCTGTTAAATAAAGTACTGTAATGGTGTGATGACTAGAAAGAGTGATGCTTTAATTAAATAACATTTGTGATAAATGCAATATTTAAGTGATATGAAGGCTTTGTAAATATCACACAGCCAGATAAGGTCCACTGTGCTAGAATTTTGCTTAGGGAGAAAGCTTAAAAATTGAAGCAGAGGTTGTGTAAAACTGCTGGGGAAGGTTAGATAGAAGTGGCACCTGGTTCTTGTTGAGAACCTTTCTGTGAAATTCTCCAGTGTGTTACGTAAATCAGCTGGGATTCTTCAGAATTATGGTTTTGATGCAGACAATATGTAGCTATAGTCCAAATTAACTTAAAACAACTTCAGCATGATGAAGTTCCTGTGTATCAAAACTGGGCTTTCTGGAGATTTAGGCCATGTCAGTTTCTTTCTGAATACGTTTCCAGTAATTATTATATGAGGTGGTATAGACACACATTGTCTAATGGAAGGATTTTGGCCTGTGTTATAGGGTTTCACTCAAAGTTGGACTCAAATTTGAAGCTGGATTTAGTCTTACGAGGAATTGAGTTTACTTATGTTGTCTGTAAATTATTATGTAAATGTATGCATGTGATGCTTAGGAAGACCTGAAAAATAAAACAAATATATTCCAATGAAAGAAGCTACTCCAACGTTTATTCCCTTTGTACACTACTATACAGTGTGTATCTTTTATCCAGATATTGGGTGTACTGGCATAAACTTCTTTGGTTAGGTTGCATTTACTGCAGGAAATGGACCACAGTCCTCTGGCATTATCATAATAAGAGAATTGTATGGGGGATATGTAATTAAGAATTGAAGACAGAATTAGAAAATAGAATTAGATTGCCTATATCCATTTGTTCAATCTTATTGTCAGTTCTAGAATTGTGTTATTGCAAAAAAAAGAATTTAAAAAAAAAATCAGAATTGTGTCTTTTTATGAAGATCTTATTATTGCCATTTAAGTATTTTGTTGACTGATTGTTTGGGTTTCCTTTTGTCTCAACAGAAATCTTGACAGTCCGTAAGTGAGAGGAGGGTCAATAAAATTTATCCAACAGAAAAGTGAATAAGAAGAAAAAGAATGATGATTTCTTGAGTCTGGTCCTTTGAAAAGTTAAGTCTCAGTAGTTCCCCTGTAGAAATAGCTGAAAACAATCTATTTCTTTTGAATTAAGGAAGCTGGGTATTACTGCAGCAATTTAAGAAAAACCCTCTTAACTTCCTGGAAACTGAAAGATTTTTTTGAAGAAGTAATGGTCTCTGACATCACTGTGCACAGCAAGTCTGCGAGTGGTTAGGTTGGGGCAACAGAGGAAGCCAACTCCTTCGCAGATAAGCAGGCAGTGTAATGTATGTGTCCGGTTATTCTCCTTTTTGGTTCAAGTTTTGCTGCAAAATTATTTTACAGAAAGATAACACAAATTTTGCTTTCCAGAGAGAGACACATGCTGCTTCGTAAGGATACGTCTGATTTCCAGAAATAACCATGTTTTTGCGCCTTAAACTCTTGGCATTTGGTGTTGCCTTTCTGTGCCAGGATGCTTTTGCCCAAGGTAGGTAGCAATTGATATTTGCTTCTCTAATTTTAATCCCATAATGTCTTTGTAGAATTCAAACAGATTCTAAGCTTTGTTAAGTGGAGATAAAACATCTTTATTCAGCAGCTAGAATATAATTGAATGCAATGGTGTCATAACCTGGATCTGGAAAGTTAACGTATGATGTACAAAGCTAAAATGTCTTCCGCACAGTTGTGGGTTTAGTAAGACTTTTTAAAAGAAAAACAAAAGATTCGTAGTTGCATTTAAAAACACATAAATTGATCTCTTGTGAGAACACACATTATCTTTATGTTTAGTCTCAAAAAACATTACTTTGTTTTATGTGCTTAAGAGCTGTAAGAAACGATCTTCTCATCAATTTAAGTACTCCCTGATCTGAGAATCTACCCTAAGCTTCTCAGTTTGATTTTTACAGCAGTGTGGTTAAGACAAAAAGTCTCAACATTGTAAGGTAGTTTCTATAGCTGAAAAATTACATTTATGATTAATTAGTTTTTAAAACTGCTTCTAGATGTTAGCCCAATGTAGATGAATTTGTCACATGCTGTGAGTAGTAAGTAAAGCAATTAATTTTGAATTAATACTTACTATAAAGATAATTTTATGGATCTGTTTCAGAAATTATTTTCTTGAAAATAACATGCAGCATTTTGTGTCTAAGTACCTTCCATCAATATTTAATGTAACGCGGGATTACAGCAGACACAAAGTTGGCACAAAGTTTGTTTTTTATTAAGTACTGTTCACCCTAAAAATGGCCAAGAGCACATTTTCTGCAAGTGCAGATTATATGCAGTGCTGAAATATCTTCTCACCTACATTAAATGTGTATGTTTCTGTCATAACTTCACTTTAGTAGCTCTCTGTTGCTGATGCGAGCAAGAAAATGATCTGCTTTTAGTTGATAACTCACTAAGAGCATTTAAAGTCTGAGCATTCAGCTTTCCTGTCCTTCAAAATCTCTGAAAAGAGTCAACACTGAATAAATGTGGTTAGTAGCTGCTGCATATTGTAAGAAAACAAGTGAATGCTGTATGGTAAAGAATCTTTTCCCCTTCTTCTTCTTCTTTTTTTTTTTTTTTTAAATCTGCTGTCCTACTTTCCATTTTATAAGACTTCCCACTGGTCTCTTTTTCCAAGAAGGGCAGGTAACTGCCTGCTCTCTCTGCCACCCCACACAGTGGATGTGTTAGCTAACGGAGAGGGCTGGAAGACTCAGAGGGGTAACATTGCTTTATTTCAAGAAGTTCAAATAGTTATTTTCTCTGTCTGCAGACAGCAGTCTAGCTTGAGCCAATTCCTCTCTATGCACTTTTACTAAACAGAAGAACCTCAGAGTAAGGATATGTTTCAACTCCTCTCTAGAGCACTTAAAGCAATTAACAGTCCGTTGCAGTGTCAAGTATTCAACCTCACAGACCTTGCTTTCACCATCTAGTTTGGCACAGGCTTATGTGAGAGCATGGAGCTCCTCTTTCTCTGCCTGGTGTTACATTTCTAGAGATCCATCTGCATATTTTTCTATTTAACTTGCATTTTGGTGTTCAGAATTCATTTATATAAACCATGGGTGGAGTGGGAATGGTAGGAGCAGGTGGCTCAGAGAGGCTGGTTCTCCTATCATGGTGGCAGCAGAGCCACTGTGCATCATCATTACTGTGCAGATTACTCTGCCTGGTGGCTATGGGCTACTGTGCTGCCTGCTAGGAAGGTAGGAAGGAATTTCTTATTGTATGAGCAACAATAGGAAGAGGTGACATGGGCTTTGGTTTTATGGTAAGACAAATTTCAGGCACTTAATTGTGATGGTTGTGCTTTGGGACTTATTTTCATATTTTTTTGTTGAAGTGCCTTGTAAACATTTGCACTGCTGAAATATCCCATTAAATTCCTCAGTGCAGTATTTCTTAGTCTGTCATCTTCCCCCACTTGAAATAGCAAGCTTAATGAAAATCTGTAATTGCCAGGTGCTTACTTATTAAAAACTTTGGTGTAAAATTGATAAAAGAATGTGCCCTAATATCGATGCTGACTTTCTGATCAAAAAAGTCATACTAACATACCTGATGCAATGCAACCATGATGTCTTTTTGGCAACAAAAACAGAACAAAACAAAGTAACAGCAAAAAATCATTTGCTCTCTTTATATAGATAAAAAAGAAAAAAAAAAGTTATGCTTGCAAGCATTTTTTTTCCATTAGCTCTTTAATGTAGGCTTCTGTCTTACACTCCGCAAATATATTAGCAATTTAGCAGCTTTTGAAAAGCTTCACTCACTACTGAGCCACTTCCTTACTTTCAGGAAGTTAAATAATTGCCTGACAGCTTTCAGTGAGACTTTTTTATTTTCCATGTGAAAAGTACTGACTTTCAGTAAGCACACAGAAATCTGAGGCTGTGTAGTCTCCATGCAAAAGGGCTTTGGATGTTTCCATCTAGAATTTTTGTGTTTTCCTTCTCCAGTCATCAGCTTCTATATTGCTCAGGCAATGGGTTGCTGTCTATCCCTCTAGAAAGGATTTAGCAGACCTAATTTTTAAGTGGCAGAACTTAGTAATATTGGCTACTAGAGGTTAAGTGGAGATTCTCAGGCAGGAGGATAGGCATTAAAGTAGAAGGAAGTGAAATCTGGTATCGCTGGAACACTCCCTTTTCACATCTTGCAGCCTTGAAATGCTTAATTCAGAATCAAGACTTGGTTTATGCAGTATGGTGTATAGGGCTGTATGCATGGCTGTATGCAGGCCTGCTCACTTCCTGGGCTGTCTCAGACACAAACCAGTTCTAAGCTGTAAGCCAATCGGTTTTCTTACAGTAATGTACTAAGGAGGACACGTTATTCTGAGCACTGCACCACACCAGCATGGTTATGTGGTTTCTGGACAAGAATTAGCTAATTACTTGGACCAAATGTGTAGTTTTCTTCACTTGGCCCTACACAAACAGAATAAGCTGATGGCTAGCATATTGGTGTGGGATTTTGATTGATAACTGCAGATAAGGTGAGACACTGATTAAAAGCTAATGGGATTTTCTTATGTTGTATGGAAGAAACATTTGCTAATCGTTCTGTGTTAACTTACATCACTGTCATACCATACTGAGAATGTTTCACCAGTATAAACCTAAAGCCACAAAACTGCTGTGCAGAGGCTGAAGATCCAGCTCTCAGTGGCAGAGAACCATTACCTATAGTTTTAGTTTTTCTTTAGATAATGTAAGTTTGGGTTCTGAAGAACAAATCAGCAGTGAATATGCTAGGAAGGTCACATATACAGTGGAGCTGAAGAAATGAAGGGAGGAAATGGCATGAAGTGACTTCTCAAAATGTTCCTTGCATTAGGAATCAAGTCTCTACTTGTCTAACTCCAATGACCTGTCTGCAAAACTGTCTGCTGCCATGAGAGTGTATGCATGCATGGAACAATGAGGCAGCCTGCATGCTGAAGCTGTGACTGCATTGTATTACTGCACAGAAGTCATCCTGTTTTCTTTTCCTGAGCCAATTGCATTGTAGCAATGAATATACCACGCTGGGAGAAAGCAAAGGAGAACAGCAAGCCACAAAAATGTTCTGTCCTCTGTTTGCACTCTTGATTTAGTTTTAAGAGTTAATATTCATAGGCATATATCTGCCCCCCCCAGGTAGGTGAGTGAATTAACTCACACTTAACTGTGCTGTGTTGGCTTGATGTCTCATCATGCTTATTTAACTTCCTCATTTAGCACTAGTTCAAATGTCTGTGTTACCCTGCATTTTGCAGTACACCTCCCCAGTCCTACTTCTATCACTCCCCTTTGTCACCATTCCTATTCTTCCCATGCTGCCAGCAACAGCATGCAGAGCAGCCAAAGAGGGGACACCCAATTTGGCAATGGAAAGAGGCACTGCAGAAAGGTTCTGTATGCTCAGCAGGGCTTGCTGGCGTGTGCTCAGCTCCTTGGCTAGGAGTGAATGCCTTACAAACTCCAGCAAGAACAGCTCCGTGTCAAACAGAATATCTGTGTGTTGCTCCAGGCAGAAGCACCCTTGTGTTGGCTTCTGGGATCAGGACTGCCTGCACTTTCTGGGGGTCCCTGAGCTCTGCCACCTTCTGCAGCGTGTGCAGGTGTCTGCTGTTGGCATTTATTCATCTTTAACTGCATATGAATAAAAATGAGTTATTTCTTTTAATCAGACTTATGAACTACAGAACTTTAAGAATATTTTGGGGGCATTTGTAATAGCTCTTGAAAGCTAAGGCTGAGCCCTGAATTTCTCCTGTGCAAAGACAGGAGTAGAAAATCTTAAAGTGGCAAAACTGACTTCCTGTTGTAAATATCAAGATTAAAGTTACTTAGACAATTTTGAAAGCTGTCCCCTGTCCACCCCTGTTTTTACTTTTCTGAGGCAGTTGTACTGTGTGTCCTGATATATTTCTGGGCTACCCATACACTTGTAAACAGATCGTGTTCACTGGGGTTTCTGAAACTGTTAAAATATTTTATCTATTTCCAGGTTTCCTTTTCTTTCAAGTAAAGCAGTTTGGGGCCCTCAGTGCTGAGATTTTAGAAACTAGCTGTGAGCACTTCAGTACCAGCTTACATTATCTGTAGTGTTGTATGGCTAACAGAATCCACTTTTTTCTGCTCTTTCATGCCTCCACAATAAGTTCTTCCACTTACTCCCTCTGTGACAGTACCTCTTCAGCTAGCCCACTAGCTTAGTTTTCTATTCTCTAGTTTCAAAGACTTCTTTTACTATCTCTCTGTCCTCCATTTTTGATCCCAGTGCCCTGGCACAGAACTCTAGATGTATCTTTGTTGTGGGTGAATGATTTGTGTTTGTTGTTGCAAAGATGTGGACTCTCTGGAGCAATATTTTTAATTGCCATCTGAAATAGACTTTTTTCCCTGACAAAAAAAAAAAAAAAAGAGAAATAATCAAGCTTAGCTGCCTAACAGAAAAATGGAACTTTGCAAAAACACTGTACAATCCATAAGCAAAGAG